GGGTGTGGATTGGCCCGTGTTGCGGATTTACCGGGTGTGGATTGGCCGTGTTGTGGATTTACCGGATGTGGATTGGCCCGTGTTGCATATTTACCGGGTGTGGATTGGCCCGTGTTGCGGATTTACCGGGTGTGGATTGGCCGTGTTGTGGATTTACCAGGTGTGGATTGGCTGTGTTGCGGATTTACCGGGGTGTGGATTGGCTGTGTTGCGGATTTACCGGGTGTGGATTGGCCCGTGTTGCGGATTTACCGGGTGTGGATTGGCTGTGTTGCGGATTTACCGGGTGTGGATTGGCCCGTGTTGCGGATTTACCGGGTGTGGATTAGCCGTGTTGTGGATTTACCGGATGTGGATTGGCCCGTGTTGCATATTTACCGGGTGTGGATTGGCCCGTGTTGCGGATTTACCGGGTGTGGATTGGCCCGTGTTGCGGATTTACCGGGTGTGGATTGGCCGTGTTGTGGATTTACCAGGTGTGGATTGGCCGTGTTGCGGATTTACCGGGGTGTGGATTGGCTGTGTTGCGGATTTACCGGGGTGTGTATTGGCCGTGTTGCGGATTTACCGGGTGTGGATTGGCCCGTGTTGCTGATTTACCGGGGTGTGTATTAGCCGTGTTGCGGATTTACCGGGATGTGGATTGGCCGTTTTCCTATTTAACACTGGTTGGTTAAAGTCGAGAGTTGAAAATTTATCCTATATACTGTATTAGTTAACCCAGTAGGTTCCTGGAGTCACGTACAAGAAGTCACCAACTACCCAGGCTGTCCTTCTGACACCTAAGTCTTCTTGGTTATATTTACAATGGCAGTGGAAGTCTAATTCATGAGGTGACGACTGTCCTATATATAGGTTTAAAAAAGTTGACAAATTCCATTCTCAACATGTACAATAGAGTCTCCCATGAGAGTTTTGGACTTGAAAATCATATACTTTGGTTAGCCCGATAAACCATATTCTCCTATGAGGGCTCACCAAAAGACCTAACTAAACTTGGTCTCTCCTCGTATCAGAAACTCTTCTTCAGTTGAAAGACTCTTCATAACTTGGCCTGATATGACAGAGTCTCTGAATAAAGACCAAGTTTAACTATGTATTAAGCTATAGCCTCTTATATAGGAGTCCCTACAGTATGCTCATATTGCTGATTCTTATTCCTACGTCCGTCTGATGGATTCTTATTCCATAAGTTTGTGATGTCTCAGAAACTGTGTTCTTATTGGTTATCTCAAATACACATAGTACAAGTCATGATATCCCTGAGATATCACTTCCATCAATAATTGACAATATGACCCAGAATAAGTATATTGCTACGGCGTTTTATGGTTTCCACAAGTCCATATCTCAGAAGAAGGCCAAGTGATACTCACTCCTCACTTTCTTACTGCTACTCTTTTTGTGTTGTTTTTTCTTGCTTCCCTCTTTCTCTTTCTTGTTTTTTTTTTTCTTTTTCTTCTTTATATATCGTTATTTCCTTTGTCTCACTGCTTTGTTCTTATGCATACCTCTGGTGAATCCTGTATAGGGTCAGTGACCCTAAATAAAGGCTTTTTGTTGATATCCCTGAGATAATCAGGGGTTTACCTATACTCTGTACTACACAGCATGGCGTCTACACATGTAGAAAGTAGGTAGACGTTTTAGTATCTAACAGAGTGTCGTTTGGTTAGTTACATACACTGATGGGAAAACTTCTTCTTCTTTCTTATCTCCACTCAATCATATTAGGTTCTGAGTCAAGTAGAATGCGTCTGCCTTTGTCATTAAGACTGAGAGCACTACTCAGTGGCAGGCAGACTTAGCTCCAATATGATATGGCCACCTCTGATATGAGGAACAGACGCCATGTACAGCTGCTCCTAACATGGAATACAAATGCTTCGAGAAAACTTAAGTAAGTGAAAAGTCGCCGGTTGTCTGTTTTTCTGAATGAGACAGAAGGCTATTATTGTGTTCAATCCGTTCATCTATTTTAGGTAATCATTAGCTAACGTTAGCGTTAAGAAAAAACAAAGACTGTATAAGGATGAGCTCACGTATATCGAAGATGGTAAATCTTCGTGAAGAGTAGACACTATAGCCTAAAAACTCGGTCTCTATTCAGAGACTCTGTCATATCAGGCCAAGTTATGAAGAGTCTTTCAACCGAAGCAGAGTTTCTGATATGGTCCACCTGTGCTGTGTGAGCAGAAGAGCTTAAATTGACTTGTTCCATTATATGTATGTTCCATATGTAAATACCTGTTTTTTTTTTTCTCTTTTCGCTCTCCACTTCTTTCATCCATATTTCCAATTATTTTTTTTTCAAATCCATATTCTTATTTTCCATAGGATCATTCAAATAATAATCTGTATATATTTATCATATGTATATAATCTTTCTCCATTTTTACCCCTTTGTATATTTCCCACTTTCATAGGTTTCTCCGTCTTGTAACCCCAAGGAGAATCCTCTGTAAGACCTGTGTGTCTTAATAAAGGTTTTTATGTGTGTGTGTGATATGAGACCACTTTTCATGGCAGACTCTACTGTACATATTGAGAATGTAATGACAATCTCTTTGGTGTCACATCGGTGGTGTCGTCGAGATGACAGAGTGTCGCTATGAGGAAGTCACACCCTTTACTGGCGCCGGGGTGGCTCGCTGATGTTTGTGTAGGGGGGAGCTGGTCTAGACACCACACCAGACAACCTCTGGGAGGATTCTTTACTAATGAATCAGACATCCCCAATATTTTTCTTATCGCGGTACGAAATTGTTTGTTTTTAATTCACACACAGGGTGAAAAATATGTCCCCTAGAGAAAAATGAGGAAAGACAACTATGAGGATGATATACACAAACTAATTTATGTTGATCAAAACAATTTTCCCAACTTATTTACATGAAAGAGCAGAGAAACAGTGAGAGAAAAGATACTATAGAACAAAATATGTAAAATAATAATTTAAAAAATACTCTGATACGATATACACACATAAGTATTGAAAATAGAGCAATCTCCATAAATAAATCTTTAATTAAAATCTTGAATCAAAATATCATTTATTTTACCAATATTTTAGTTGGCTGAATGCCAACCTTTATCAAGGTGTTATAACATATTAATGTGTGTCAACAACAAACTCAGCGCCATATAACGTCAATAGAATTAAGTTTAAAAAATATTTTTGCTTATATTCAATGGGGAGAAAATTTTTAAATATATATATTTATGAAAAATAGTACAAATGTAATATTGTACTGGGATAAGGCGCATAAATTAAGAAAAAAGCATCTCCTTATCGTACAACTGAAAGTTGCTGATGTCTTGCGCCATCTATCGGAATAAATATCAATAGCGCAAGCCATCAGCAACTTTCAGTTGCACGATAAGGAGATGCTTTTTTCTTAATTTATGCACCTTATCCCAGTACAATATTACATTTGTACTATTTTTTTCACATTGTGTAGCGTTCTCACGCAATTCTGGCCTTAACTACCCGTTTCATGATTTTTCAGGATGCCTTAATGACCAATTTTTTGGTCGTTGAGATACAGCTTGCACCACGCTGATGAGGGCCAACAGCCCGAAACGCGTCCGTGGTTAGCTTTTCTTGATTAATCAAGAATGGGTATTTGGCCAATTCTGGAATAATTAAAAATCAACGAGAATAGTTGATATTTATTCCGATAGATGGCGCAAGCCATCAGAAACTTTCAGTTGCACGATAAGGAGATGCTTTTTTCTTAATATATATTTATATTATGGAAAAAATAATTTTTGTAAAATATGGGTGTGAATATTCTGAATATTAAAAATAACAATTCAGTATATGCCTTTTTATTTAAACACATAAGTATTTATTAAGGCATATAGAGGCTATTGTTGGGTGCTGTACTACCTGGAGTATAGGAGCTCCATCTATGCATTCTTCCTGTGGTGAATCTGTATAAGACCTGTGGTTATAATTAAGCTGTGTGTGTAAGACATATAGTCATGGATTTACCACGGAGTCTCTGTAAATAACATATTCTGATACAATAGCATCAAAGTATTTTCTATTCTTGAAGATTATATGAGTTCTCTCTTTCGGGCAACTCTGTGCTTCACTTCCATCAATAATTGACAATATGACCCAGAATAAGTATATTGCTACGGCGTTTTATGGTTTCCACAAGTCCATATCTCAGAAGAAGGCCAAGTGATACTCACTCCTCACTTTCTTACTGCTACTCTTTTTGTGTTGATTTCTTGCTTCCCTCTTTCTTCTTCTTCTTATTATTTTTTCCTTTTCTTGTTTTTTTTTCTCTTTTTACTCTGTCTATATCGTTATTTCCTTTGTCTCACTGCTTTGTTCTTATGCATACCTCTGGTGAATCCTGTATAGGGTCAGTGAACCTAAATAAAGGCTTTTTGTTGTTTGTTGTTTGTTGAGTTCTCTCTTTCCTAGCCTATTTTATTGTTGCAGATTTGGTTGAAATTCTTTTTAAAAAAAATAGTTTTTAGACAGATAAAAACAACTTTTTGTTAGCTCAAGTTCTAATCAAAGGAAACTATCTTTTCTTGATAAATAAAGAATGGAATGCTATCAGTGTGGGGCTGATATCTTCTTATCTTTGGATGATTTAAATGTCTGTTTGGGGTAATAATAGCTGTACATTACATTGACGTCTATTTCTTCATATGTATTGTAATAAATAGAAATCTTTTGAGTCGAAAGGCGATCCATCAATTAAGTTTATAAAAAAGGTGTACCTGGATCTATAAAGAAAAAAAAAAGAATTTTTTTCTCAAAATATTTCGAGAAATTGCTCCCTCTTTATCAATTTATTACACAGTAAACACAGTAAACGCCATTTTATATAAATATATTATTATATAATGTAATTTATAATACAAAATATAATGTGACTTATGATTGTAAAACGACATTTGAAAATTTTCCCGCATGTGTTTCTTCCAAACGAAATATCGAAACCAATTTTTAAGGAGAAATAACGATTATTTATGTCCAGGGAAGCCTAGTGGACTGGCATCTGTCCGGTAAGCGGAACACTGTGGGTTCGATTCCCATCCCTGGACACTTTTATTTTCCCGTTTATCATTACTCTTCACAATTCCTCCTTTCATACGTCATCCCTAAGGTTAGAAATAATCGTTATTTCTTCTTAAAATAAATTTCGATATTTCGTTTCAAAAGAAACACCTGCGGGATAATTTTCAAATATCGTTCTACAATTATAAGCCGCATTATATTGTAATATAAATGTATTGTAATAAATAGAAATATTTTGAGTCAAAAGGCGATCCATTAAATAAGTTGATATAAAAGGACGTACCTGGATCTATAAAGAAAAAACAAAATTTTCTCAAAATATTTCGAGAGATTGCTCCCTCTTTATCAATTTATTGCACAGTAAACCAAGCATGTCAAACTCGCGGCCCGCGGGCCTCATGCGGCTAACAACGAAAAAATTTGTGGCCCACCAGACAATATATTTAATTAAAAAAAAATTATAAATTAAAAAAAAAATAATAAAAATTTGTAGCCTAATTTTTAAAAATTGTAATTATACATAATTTATTTATTAATAACGAACCACTGGTCGCCATACATAAGTCGTAAGTTTTGATAATATTATACCTACATACATAACGTATGTACATCGCCATAAGTATTTTTTGCGGCCCACATAATCTTATTACTTTTTTATTTGGCCCGTGTTAGGATTTGAGTTTGACATGCTTGCAGTAAACGCTCTTTTATATAAATATAAATCTATTATTATTTAAGAACCGAATAAGTACAAACGGGGGGTCGGTGGAAGGCTGGTTAAACCGTTTGCTTTTCGACCACTACGACCCGGGTTCGATTCCCGCATTGGACACCTTTTTCTGATAAAAAAAAAAAATGCTCCAATGGCCCCCGATTTTTGCAAAAGTCCAACCCCACCAGCGAGTGCAAGTAAACAAACGGGGCTCTTGCACATTTGTAAGTGCAAAGTCGAACTGCTTTTCACATGTGTAGACATGTGGTGCGCTTACAGTAAAAAGCAGTCGCTAACTACCCACCATGATTATCATGGCCTGTAACAAGTGTACTAGGGATAATTAAAAAAAAATATATTGAAAAAATAAGTACAAACCATAGAGGACTAAAGAACGAAGCATAACGAGAGAGAGAGAGAGAGATAGAGAAGGACATACAACCAAAGAACAAACTTTAATAATTACAGCTAATGATTACCATAATATATCTTCCATTCACCAAAAAGTAAATGATTATGTAAAACATCTACGCCAGAAAGGGAATAAAGAAAATTACCAAATTTATCAATACAAAGAAAGGCACGAGCATAAAATCACCTGATTAAAAAGACATTGATCAGTTGATTGAGAGTTTAGGGAATCGCATGAACTCAATTCGTTGAGTAAAATTTACAAACTCAAGATTCGAAACCCAACAGTGTTATAATATCGGTCAATAAAATTACTGAGAGAGAGAGAGAGAGACGGTTAAACATACTTTATTGACTACTAGTCAATTATGGATGAAAAATAATGATATAATACAGTGAAATTATGATTGAGGAAGGCTCCACCATCTTGCCAGAGTCCTCCTCCAGACGATGAGAGGGTCTTCTTGGACGCCCCGTATCTCCAGGCCCGAGAGAGAGAGAGAGGGACAATTAACATACTTTATTAACATCTTGTCAATACAAGGTCAAAGTGAAAAATCCTCACAAATCAGGAATTACGAAAAAAAAAGTGAGAAAATATGGTTTTACGGGCTACTAACCAAAGTGTAGAATTTTCGAGGCCAAAAACATAATGAGAAAAGTTCTAAATGTTGAGATAGGAAGGTTGAAATGTTTTGATCAAAATAAATTGCTTTGTCACGTTTGTCTTTCCTCATTTCTCGACGTGACAATATTAAGAATTAGAACATTATTCCGCCGCAGCACACATGTGTGAACTCTATTAACAAACATACCAAACCTATTGATTCATAGAGGTTGGTAGTGTGACACATTCTGTCGTTTGTCCTGGCATCGAATCCCGTATTGCCCACTTTTTTTTTTCTGTTTTAATGGCACCCTGTGTCAGTCCAACCCCATCAGTAAGTGCAAGTAACCAAACGGAATGCTATGGCTCATATGTTTTAATTGGAAAATTGAAACTGTTTTCTTTACATATGTAGAGTGTAAAAACATCTAAATATGTGAGAGTAGTGATTCACGTTTTGTTTTTGATCGAGAGAAATTCGTTTTTGATCATGTAACAAAGGATAAGAGCCACATTTTTACCATCGCCAAATATTTGAATGTAATTCTACTGTCCTATAAGCTTATGTCCATAGTTTTCTTGAAAACCATTTCCGAGATTCCATCCTTCAGTGCTGCGTATATAAGCAGAATCGTCCAATACAGTATTAGAGCTCTGATAAGCGGTCTGGTGGATTAAATTGGCGAAACCGCTGGGAGGGTTCACCACTGATGAGCCAAGCCCTCCCAATATATTTTTTTTCATCGCAGTAAGGACAGTAGAAGTTTGTATTATGTATAAAAGAAACATTCGTGCTTTTAAATCCTTTCATTTTATATGTATAAATGGCGCGTTATTGCTTTGTATTAAATATGTAATGTACAAATTCTGGATAAGCATAGATTGTAACTATGACTATAACATGGAGTTTGACTCACTTTTAGAGGCTCATGTCTAATGTATGGTGTAAATATATACTCTCTCAATGTCTCTATGTTCATCTTTACTTGCTAAACTTTGACTCAT